ATAGAGGTACAAAGGCAACGCTGCGCGCCCCTGGGAAGACATCGCGAATGGCCATGCCTTCGTTTCTCCGCGAATACGGGTCGTTGGCCTTTCGCTGCTTTTGCTTGTCGCCCCTTTGTTCTTCTTGAATGCTCCGAGCTTTCTGGGCCTGGAAAGCAGCCATAGCCGAGTCCTCACTCGTGGGATCACTCGATCCCGTCATTCCGTCGCCATCGAAATTAAAGATCTTGCCTTTTGGATAGCGGCGCAGTAGCCTCTGGAGCTGTCGTTCAGGTACAGTTCGACTGCGTCCTGACGGGGCTTCACCATTTATGCTGGAAGAGACAGACGTAGAGAATCCAAGAACAGGGCACATAGCGCCTGAGGACCGGTAGTCTGCGGAATTCCGGGGAGAAGAGACTGAAATATTACCTCTACCTGGAGAGGAGGAAGATGAGGATGAGGAGGAAGAACGAACGTGAGCCCTTGAATTGCGCCGCAAAGAACCGGACCGGATTCTGCCAGCAAAAGAGCCAACACCTGCATCCAAAAACAGGACCCCCTCAACTTCAATCGACTCGCGTAGGATATTTGCCGCTTTAGAGAATATCTGCCTCAGCTGATTAGATCGCGATTCTTCTCCAGTCGGAACTGAATTAGGAGGCTTGTCAGTTGGATGGAACGGGCTTGTCGGCCTGTTCTGACTAGGGCTTTCAAGAACAAAAATATCCGGCGTGGATATGTTATCCGTTTCGGCAACAGCAGTGACACTGTCCCTCTGTTTCTGGATCTTTTGTTGCGTCTGGTTGAGAGAGCCTTCTTCTGTGCTTGCATCGGTATTGAAGATATTCGTTGAACTGTTCTGCCAACCTGTCACGGTCGTCTTCCCCTCCACATAGCTTCCCAAACCGCGAACCATACGCTCACCAGGACGCCTGCCATCTCCAGATCGTGTCAGTTCCATCTGTCCCAGGATAGATGCTGAAACATCTCGCATGACTTGTAGTGATGCTTCGTCAAGTGTCTCCCGCGGTTCGTTGTCAAGAATACAGAAGACGCCAATGTTGATACCTCGACGGGTTCTTATCGGTACTCCTGCGTAGAACCGATGCTCTGGCCGCGCCTTGTAGTACCAGGTATCGCGATACTCTTCATTTTCAGCAAGGTTGCTTACCACAGTAACCGGGAGCTCCGAAGCCAATGATGGTTGCTGTGGTACACCAGACTCGCGAGATACCAATACACGATCACAAATACCATAATTCCGAGGTATTGCAGTACCACAAAGCCAAAGGCTGTCAGAACCAGAGCTAGGAGGATTGGCGTGAGCAGATATGCGAAGCGCAGGTGTAGCTTCAGCAATAATATGCTGGTGTTGACAGTCAAACAGCGAGATCATGGCGCGAGAAGCGCCGAGTCTCAAGAGAGCCACCTGGGCCAGAGCTGTCATGACAGGATCCGAGCATGGTCGCAATAGAGACGATGGGATAAGGTTTGCAACATCATTGCGAACAGAGTTGGCGACAAGGATCGAGTCATATCTGGGTATTCGTTAGATGAGTCCGTTGGAGGAGCTTCAATTGATGGCAGGGGATGAAGATGCGACGAGAGTGAGGATGAGAAATGGTGCAAGGTCATACACACTTGAATATCTCCCGTTCGCGAGTTGATTCCGAAACCTTGTTACCAGTCATGATCGACAGCTGTAACGTCGACTACGTGCTTAGCCCATGCAAGCAAGCAAGCAGCCTCGGCAGGGGGAACAGATCGTCGGACGATGTTGGGGGGGTTGTGTGGTTTAACAAGACTGGTTTAAAATACCAAGGTAGCCTGCCCTTGAGAATTTAGCTAGATATTGGCAAGATTACTTAAGGATGGATTCCTCCATCGCACTCCGACCTTGTCTGGGTCTAGATTCTAGGCTGTCCTTCCACTCGAATCTTGACCTATCGCCACCCCGCTTTGCCCTCTAACGGCCCTGAAGCCAACCTTCAGTGGAGCCACCCGGGTGCTTACCCGTGGAGATCTACCGCCTGAGTTCCGTTAGCGACAGAAGATCGATCGATTTGCCATGAAACCTCCGGCCTCTCATCTCATGGATAAGATTTTATGGGCATCTGACTGAGTCAGGCACGCATAATCTCAAGGCCATCAGATGCCCTTAATTTCTAAAATTATAAAGCATAAAGGGGAGTGAGTCTATGCTGCTTGCAATAATAGCACGCGCTGCAAAGAAAAAGCAAGATCGAGATCAATGACGAGACTATGATACATTGTCCAATTGATAGCAGTTTCCCATGTTCAGAAATGCATCTACAGGTGGGAAAACAAGATGTTTTGCATGAGCTTTTAGGGTGGGTGGGTGCCTGAATGCTGTAGCTTTGCACCCGACCTCAGTCTAGAACCCAATGGGCCCATATATTGCCTGCAACTGGTCAACTGTGACTGGAAATACCTAACACCATACAATCATACAATCATACAAGGACTCAGAAGAACACTGAAAGATAAAATATATGTTAATGTATATCACGAGCATTGAGAAATAGATTAAAAATCTTATGCTATAATATCTACCTCAGAACAGATTGTTCCTGTTAAAGTTGACCCCAAGACAGTGTGAGCTACTGTTATCGCACCGATAACACAGTAGCTTCAATTGGCTCGAGCTTCTTTTTTTTCTTCATCCTTTTCAAGCGATGCTATACGTTGCCGTTCATTTCTTGAGTAACTGTCAATAAACATCAATCTCTCAATATGTTTGAGAATACATGTACCCTGCCTCTATCGGCAGATGTATTCGCAACTGCCCTCCACCCCACGGAGCCCCTCCTGACCGTCGGTTTATCGAGTGGCCATGTCGAGACCTTTCGATTGCCATCCAGCTCTTCTTCCGACGACAATGCCGATGCCGATGGTGACACGAGCGTGCTGAGCGACGGAAAGAGTATGATCGAATCCATCTGGCGCACTCGAAGACACAAGGGAAGCTGTAGATCATTGGTCTACTCGCACGATGGTTCTGGTAAGATTTCCACAAGCTTCCGTTGTTGTTCTCTAAGCTAACCTGTCAAAGCTGTCTATTCAGCTGGTACCGATGCGCTGGTAAAGCACTTTGACCCCAAAACCGGTCAAGTCATTTCCAAATTCGTGATTCCTTCTGCAACTACGGTTCCCGATGCGCCGACCCTCCTCCACGTCCTGAACCCCCAGAGCCTGCTTCTTGCGACTGACTCAGGTGCCCTCCACATCATTGACCTTAAGGACGGCAAGCTGGGAAAGAAGCCCGTTCAGACTCACTTCCCCCATGCCGACTACGTTTCTTCCATAACACCTTTGCCGCCCACTAGTGCCAGCACCAGCGGATTCCCGAAGCAATGGGTCAGCACTGGCGGTACCACGCTCGCCGTGACCGATGTTCGGAGAGGAGTGCTTGTGCGTAGCGACGACCAAGAGGACGAGCTGCTATCTTCTTGCTTCGTTCCAGGCTTGGGCCCCAAGGGACATCGCAACAACGGCGTTTTGGCGGTAGGATCCGGCTCGGGTGTATTGACCATGTGGGACAAGGGAGCCTGGGACGATCAACAGGAACGCATCATCGTCGATGGCGATAAGAAGGGTGGTGGTGAAAGTATTGATGCCATGGTTTTGATCCCGCAAGAGCTGGGACTTGGCAAGAAGGTCGTTTGCGGTGTCGGTGATGGCAGCTTGCGTGTGGTCGACCTTGTTGCTCGGGAGGTGGACATTTCAGCCAATTTGCGTCACGATCACATGGAGAGTGTTGTCTCGCTGGGTTTCGATTGCGAGAATCGCCTTATCAGCGCTGGCGGAAAGACTGTGAAGCTTTGGGAAGAGCTATCTGCTCTTCAAGGAGACAACGATGACGATGACGAAGAGGATGAAAATGATGATGACGATAGCGATGATAGTGACGCTGCAGAGAATGGCAACGGCAAGCGAGCTGCTGATAGCGATAGCGACGACGATAGTGAGGAGGACCAAATTGAGGAGATGAAGCGCAGGGCCAAGCGACGCAAGGAGGCCCAGCAGAGCAAACTTGGGCCCATGGGAGCCCACGGCGTCATGGGGTTTGAGGGCTTAGATTGAGCGGAAGTTTTTGGTGATGAAAATACTGTTACGATACCCGGCGTAGATACGATAAAGTAGTGCGATCAGACGGTCAGAATGGCCAGAGCCTAGACCATGGACGTAGATACAATTCATTTCAAGTTCAAGAGAGAAAGATCATGGTGATAACTTTCAATTTTTCAATATCTGGCTATCTATCTAATTTATGAAGAAGCCCACCCTAGGAGGTGGACATCCAACGACTCATGTGCAGTTGGTAGTCTTCCGAAACGAAGCACGATCACATACATGGTGAAATAACCAAAAACCCATTCGTGTTGAGTCGGGGAGAGAAGTATCCCTTGGCCGATGCTACACGACCTTCGGTGATAGTTCTTTGAGGCCCAGTAGCCTCATGTTTTGACTCGAGACCCAGTAGTCTCTTATGATGAGTCTTCTCGAAGCCCAGTAGCTTCGGAAAGTACAAGTGCACTTATTCTATCCCGGGAAGGGGGCAGAAGCAGATACCTTGCCATTACACATGGCGACAAGGGTTGCATCTGAACCAGTGACTAGAGAAAGGACTTGAAGCGGCATTGTCCCCAGAAATACTCCATCAGAGAATCGTGGAAGACCAAGCCGGTGGTCTATGTCTTACAGAGAAGGGCACGATATGACGGTGGTGCAATGCAGAGTACTAGAAACTCTGCAAACCGGGTGTCACGCTCCTTTCTCCATTATCCCTCCACTGTGTAAAGGGTGAGGCGCGGTGGGTGGCGTGCGTTGTGCGAATGCCGCAAATATCATTATGATCCCATATCCGAGAAATCGGCGCGAGGTGGGGGATCCTGGTATAAGAATAGGAGGCTGAAGGGCTCCTCGCAGGTACAAGACAGGTAGTTTTAAAAGAGATTATAAAAAAAAGATGTCCAGGTGGACAAGACCAGAAGGTGTCAGACGCCTGGAATATGAAGATAGCTCCAGCAGGCGTCTTCTGATTTGGGCTGCGTGTCGGCTCGAGCAAAGTCCTCCATGACTTTCTCATCGCTGGGCGCTGAAAATCGAGTTGGAGAGCTCATAGTGAGGTTGTCGTCGTAAATGATAACGGTGGGAAGTATCCTGGTGTCGTGGCCGCTGCCCTTCTCTTCGGAAGATGAGTCGCTAGGTCGTCCGCCTGGATGTAGTTCACTTGCACTGTATGTCGTAGGTATGCAAATGTGAGGGATTCCTTTCCGTATGCCAACGGCTCGGGCCAAAGTGACAGCAGAACCTCCGCCGACACTGACAACGCAGTCTCGTCCAGATGCCTGGGCTGGCACGGTGGTATTAGATGAGCAGAGAATTCGACTGTCGAGATTAGGAATAATGGCTTGAATTTTGCGAGCGATATTTGATCTTGAAGGGCTCGACACAATGAGCGGTGAAGTCAAGTGTAATCGAGCCAGCTCAGATGGTAGACGATGAATTGCGTCAGGGCCGACGACTAAACGAGGTGATGAAGAAGAAGGACGTTTTGAACGGCGATGTCGAGATCGAGAGGAGGGCCGCTGGACCGTGCCGGGCGGACCAGCGTGCGAAGATGGAGGAGACAAGTTGGTGGCTGGCGGCGTCACAAGAGCGGACGCCTTGAGGGCGAGGGCGTCAACAAGCTTGTCACGAACAGCAACGAGATCAGGATCAGTAACTTTTCGTGGTGACAAACGATGAATGCCGTTGGTGGAGTGGTGCATGAAGGGCCGATGCCGGCTGTCCGGAGGTATCCAGCAGCGGTAGCGGTTGTTGAGGTATATCGAAGTCCAACCTGCGCGACATCAATCAAGTGCCCAAAATGACAACAATAATGGATTGAAGACGGAAACTGGAAAAAAGGGAATTTATCGAGATTTGATGAAAGTTCAGAGATTCACAAGTTAGAGACATAGCACAAGATGAGCTAGGGCACATTATTATGGGCAGATAGAATAGGCGTGACCTTCTGGGATGGGACGAGACCAGACCAGACCAGACCAGACCAGACGTTTGAGTGAAAATCCCTTAGCAGCACCTGTTTCTGCCTGTGAGAGGAAAGTGACCGTTTGTCGTGGTTTTTCGCCACAGAAAAAAGACGCCACCTCTGCCTTTTGACTAGGTGACTAGGAGCAGGGGAAATTTGGTCTCTTTGTTATTAATAATACAGCCAAAAAAAAAGGGTCCAACCGATGGTCTTGGGGCCGATGATGGGGATGGTCAAGTGGCAACGCCTTGTCTGTTTGGTGCCAGTCCCTGCGTGAGACCCTGAAAAACTGATGTAAAAGGGGGCAAAAGGTGTATTGTTTCTGTCATGAAGACGTCAAATGTGTAACGGAGGGGGATCTCTTGACCCCTAGGAGGCAGTTTATCCGCCCCGGCCGGAGGTTAGCTCCTTTAAGTGGAGCAGCGATCGGAGACAAAGTCTCGTGGTGACGGAGCAAGTCCGCCAATGAGAAGTGATAGGAGAGATCGTGGTTGGCTGTGGACATGGAAGGAAGAGAAAGGATGGGCAAAATCAAGAAACGCATCTCTTTGTGTCATAAAACCCATATTACGTCGGTGTTGGCGTTTAATGGCGATATGATTGGTTGCTCACTCAATGCTCCGGTGGCTTCGATGAATGTACAGTAAGCGCTATAGCAGTTCCCGTTACTAAGAAAACAGCAGAAGCTCATCTTGGAACTTTTTACTAAATTAGGTAGGTAAGGAATATCGTGAGTTGATCCAAAGTTGAGTCTGCGAAGTCGCTGCGTTTCTGAACTATTTCCGGATAATGCTGCGGTGACGCAGGGTGAGTTGTAAACCGACCGTGACATCTGTTCTGTAACACCATCGTGTTGTGTTTGTTAGAACAAAGAGTCTTTCGAACTGTTTGTGGTTTCGTAGCTGACCGTTGCGTTACTGTTGTATCTGGAGGCCTCTAATCAGTGAGAGGGGAAGAAGAGAAGAGATGTGCTAGGGTGCCTGGAGAGCACATCAGGCCTCTTTTTGATGTTGCAATTAGAGCTATAGAACAAGATAGAGTCACAAGAACTGACACCTCATGCTCAAGGATGGAGACCAAAGCACTTTCTTAAGTAACAAAAACTCCATGAATGCGGAGAGGCAGGCACATAGCGGCAGTCTCCGGTGCCTCCCGCCTTTAGCTCAAGCCAACCTACCAGTTCTGCCCCTCTGAGCCAGGGCCTTGCCTGATGTTTCCTATGGCTGGTCTTACAACACCAATCTTCTCTTCCTTTTTCTTCTTCCTCTTCAATATTTGTCGCATCAATCATCACGATCTATCTGAAGCGCCGGCGGCCTTTACACAATTCTATGACTTTGTCTCCGCCGCTTGACCTAGTCTCGCAGCTGTGATAACATCTCCGACCGATCGATCGCCCTTCTTTCAGCTCTGGTTCAATCATCTACACCTTCAGGATGGAATTTATTGCGCAGTCGCCCGCCTCCGTTCTCCCAAGAATCACAGGCTCTTAGCTATTACCACCGGACGCAGCCGACAGCCGATTTTACTCGCATTTCTATCTTATCTGATAAGCTTGTGGTTGGCCGACGGCTCATGGCCGAGCACAACCTCAGTATGCATATCTGCTAGCAAACTGTGGCGTACAATGCATGCACCCAAGAGATAAACTTGGACGAGTTGGGTGGTTCAATTCCGACGGTCACTCCAAATTGGTGCCATCTTTTACAGAGAGTCATCCGATTTCGCAAACTGATTATCTATCAGCCCGTAGTTTGAAGCTCAGAATGATGCCCAGACAAAGCTCAGCTGGTGCTGTCCCTGCTCAGGCTGGGTTTATCGTCACAATCCTGGCCATGATACGCAGCCGAAGTCGCCTATTCCGTGGCGATGGGTGACAACCCCAGACATGCCACGGGGATGCGCCGATGCGCTATCTCATCCCTCTCGATTCGAACCCAGCCCAATGGTCGCGACAGGCCGTACTCCTCTGTTCGTCCCCCACGTCCAGAGGTGCACCACCAATACCGGTTCCCCGACCGGCCGGCCTGATAGCATGCCAACTTTATTTCTACCTCCCCATCGTGGAATCTGGGGTTGCATATTTAAAGGAGCGGTTGTGCACGATCATGTCACCAATATCAAGCTTCAGATTAGCATCGCATGTTTTCTTAGCTGACCTTGTCTTTTGATCTGCATCTCATCTCACCTCGCTTGGGGCTCTTGGACTTGGACCCGCAGACACCCACCCGCTGCCCCATCTCTAGCAATTTGTCAAGCATCTGGGGAATAACAAGTCCTGATAAGCTATCTCTGGATCCACGAGTTATCAGTTACCAGTCTTGGGTCATTAAGCCTAAGAAATAACTCTAGCCACTCCCGAAAACGGCCTCGCGTGCTCGCCAATCACTTCTATTATACGGAGAGGAATTAGAAGTATAAACCTTCTTATTGCCCATATCAACTTTCAGTACTGGAGCCTTTCATAGCCTTCGTCAATATTTATTCAACGTTGACATTCCAAGCCTGTCGTTGAGTTGATCGACACGAAGATTCCTCTTTCGCTTGGACCCCTCGACGATCAACGCCATCGACACCAAAGCCATTCCAGCGTTGGCCTATTTCTAGTTTCTTCACACAACTCCATCTAACTCCTTCAACAATGGATGAGGATCAAGGGCCAAGGTCGATTGCCCCCGAGCATGCGCCACCGAAAACATTCGCTCAGCGTTGCAATGGCCTCAAGAAGGCATTCACTACCAGGCACGGCCTGATTGGCGATTATGACTATGCCTTTCTCTTTCGCCCAAACCTGCCCTTCATGAAGAAGAGCGTCAACCCAAGTCCCTTCTTTGGTCTCAATGACAAGATGCCAGTTCTTCTGGGCTTGCTGCTCGGCTTTCAACACGCATTGGCCATGTTAGCAGGTGTGATTACACCCCCGATCATTATCAGCGGCAGCGCCAATTTGCTACCTGAGCAACAACAATACCTCGTCTCAACCGCTCTCATCGTTTCTGGCATCTTCTCTGCAGTCCAAATCACTCGATTCAGGCTTTTTGGTACACAGTAAGTGTTGTTTGGTCGCGGCAAGAGTTTGGGCTAATTCTTGTCTTAGATACTACCTCGGTACTGGAGTTTTGTCTGTAGTTGGAGTCTCATTCAGCGTTATTCCTGTCGCTCAAGGAAGTCTCACTCAGATGTACGCCAATGGCTTCTGTCCTTCAGATTCTGATGGAAACCCCTTGCCTTGCCCTCAGGGCTATGGCGCCATTCTTGGTACCTCCGCTGTGTGTGCTTTGATCAACATACTCGTCTCTTTCATCCCCGCAAAGTACTTGCTGAAGGTCCTGCCACCGATCGTCACTGGCCCTACCGTTATGCTCATCGGTATCAAGCTCATCAAGTCGGGTTTCTCCAACTGGATGGGTGGCAGTGGAGGATGCATGACTGCCACTGACGGCTTGTTTGCTCTTTGCCCCAACATCAATGCACCTCATCCTCTTCCCTGGGGATCTGCAGAATTCCTGGGCTTGGGTTTCTCTGTCTTTGTCGCCATTATTCTGTGTGAGCGGTTCGGCTCGCCCATCATGAAATCCACCTCGGTCGTTATTGGACTGCTAGTCGGCTGCATTATTGCTGCTGCCTGTGGTTATTTCGATCGATCTGGTATCGACTCTGCTCCCGTTGCTTCGTTCGCTTGGGTACACACATTCCCTCTATCAGTTTACGGGCCACTCGTGCTCCCCCTGATTGCTGTTTACCTTGTCTGCGCTACTGAAGCTATTGGCGATGTCACAGCCACATGCGACGTTTCCAAACTTGAGGTGACCGGAAAGACCTATGAATCTCGTATTCAGGGTGGTATCTTGTCTGATGGTATTGCTGGCTGTATCGGCGCTCTCATGACGATGACTCCTATGTCTGTCTTCGCTCAGAACAACGGTGTCATTGTCCTCACCAGATGCGCCAACCGCAAAGCTGGTCTTGCCTGCGCCATGTTCCTGGTCATCATGGGTATCTTTGCCAAGTTTGCTGCTGCTCTCATTGCTATTCCGTCAGCTGTTCTTGGTGGCATGACAACCTTCCTCTTCAGTGCTGTGGCTGTATCAGGCATGTCCATCATTGTCCGTGGTGTCCCTTTCACTCGACGCAACCGCTTCATTCTCACTGCTGGTCTGGCTCTGGGATATGGCGCAACGCTTCTACCCAACTACTTTGACAAGATCTTCACATATGAGGGGGATAACCGCTCTCTTCAGGGTTTCCTTGACGCTATTGTTCTTGTCATGGAGACTGGTTTTGCAGTTGCTGCCATCATCTGTGTGATCCTCAACCTCACGCTTCCTGAGGAGCTGGAAGATGACATCGATGCGGCGCGTTCAGCGACCAATGTCGTGATCCATGAGGATACAGAGCAACAGAACAAGGCCACCGCAGGCTCAAGTCGGGAGCATAGTATCGATCCTCAGAAGCAGGTTTGAATGGACGTAGGAAGAAACGTATAAAAGTTCAGTAGGGAATAGGGTTCTGTTTATTTATGATGAATATCAGGTTATTTAAAATATGTCTCATTTGAATGAAGCTCAGTCTCTACAGATCAAAAGTAATATTCATTAAACAGTATAATCATTCCAATTTATCACCGATCTCATCTAAGAATCCCTCTTTCAGCTTTCCAAAACGCCTGTAACTAATGGCCATTCCTTTACTCCGCGCCTCATTAGAATCATAAAAGCTCTCTTACATAGAGATACA